GATTTCTTTAGTTGATCCCAATGCACCCCCATAACAACAGAGAGGCAGGCTTTTAAACAGGTAATGGTCTGCACGGTCCCGCTCCAGTTTAATACAGCTGTGGCTGAGTGGTTAGAGCAGTCGTCCTCCAATGGGAGAGCTGGGGGTTCGATTCCACCAGCAGTCACATGTTGAAGTGCCCCTGGGCAAGACACTGAACCCCTCGCTGTCTCCGATGTGCGTCAGAACATTTACCATTTATTTAACGTGGTATCTGTGGTTTCTAAAAAAAAACCTTCTGGTTTGGATCATCTGATCTCAGAACAGTTCTCTGCTTCACCTCAGTCCGTTTGAAACGAGCTCTGGTCCAGAGAAGACGGCAGGACTTCTTCTTTGTCTGATAGAGCTTTAAGAGCTGTCGTTTTGATGGCGAGTCGAGATGGTTCTCCTCGTCAGTTCATCGTTGACCTTGTGTTGATCTACACCACAATAAACATAAACCGAACTTCATCGATGAGCTGCGTTTACAACGATCTGCGGAAGTCTTCCCGAGACCAGAACCAGACCTGGTTTAATGCAGTGGCCCCTGAGGGCCTCGAGATCACGACCCAACACTGCCTTTCAGCTCAGAGATTTCTACAGATTATTTTAATCTGGTGATTAGGAACTGTAGAGGATGGGATGTCCAAGGGCTTCCCACTCTTCCCACAGAGTAAAATTCTTAAACACAGTTTTCACAGACTGGTGAAGCCCTAATGGAACCATCCTCTCCAGAAGGCCCAGTCCACTTACTGACCTGTTGCCCGTTAATCTGATCAGTTGCAGAAATGCTCCTCCGGCTGTTTCTTATTCGTACAACTAACTTTTACAACCTTTGTTGGGATGTTACTGCCATCAAATTCAAAATGACCTTATTTTTCATACAAATGGTGACGTTTATTAAACGTTTGATACATTTGCTCTGCTCCATTGCAAATAAAACATGTTGGACTACAGATTTAGACATTCTGAGACGATGCTCTGTGAAAGTAGCGTAATTCTGAGACAAAAAGCGAATAATCCCATCGTTACACACCGGTAGCTTCGAGTACATCGACGCGTCTCGCTCCCGTCCTTTCACGCAGATTGGTATCAGGTGCTCTCTCTGAGCAGCATCGCCTGCTGTGGTGAGGCTCAGCTTGTCCATGGAGACGGGACCTTATATGGCAGCGAACAAGCCGCAGAAGAGCGTCGGTGGTTTAAGACTCGTGGGTTCTACTTCAGAGAGCTTATCCCACAGCAACATGACTGACAGCCAAGAATCAAATATCCATTTAGGACATATATGGGATAACCACGAGAGAAACTTCTTTAGGGGACATCTTGAACAGTTCTAATAATTAGGATCACGATGGGATTATATAGGGGTGCAGATCCTACCTGAAAATGGTTCCTCTGCGCTTGTTGTTTTTGAGTTCGCACAGCGATCAGGCTTTCCTCTTTTAAAGGTCAGCGATGTGCACAAACAGCTTATGAAAACCGAGCAACAGTTTTATTGCCCAGCGCAGGGGATTGAAGGAAAAGAGTCCAGGGTCCAACGAGATCCAAGTAGGTCAGCTTGGCTGGGGATTGGAATCGACTTAAAGGGCCTAATTAAATGTGTCAGGTCTTCGTTGGGTTTAATATTTATGACATCACTAGACTAAAAGAAAAATAAGTTTCGTGTTTCACAGAAGAGTCTCGAGTCCCTCCATCGCAGTCCCAGACAGAAGACCACAGCAGCAGAGAGTCGAGCAAACACGCTATAAAACCACCGGTCCGGCTTCATGTGGTTCCTTCTCCTTCTCCCATAAACACCCACCGCCGCATTTCAAAGACGCTTCAGTCTCAACAATGACTTGCACATGTACGGCTGAGCAGCCCTTTGAGGTAAAGCTGACACGCAGTAAATACTTCAGGTCTAGACGGAAAAGCTTTTTTTAAATACACGCTAAGTGATATACCTCTGTTTCGTATACGTTTATTTCCACTATGAGAGTAGTAGTGCACACAATGTAATGGTGTTGTGCACAGGTGGTGGAGTGTGGGGGCATGTGGGGGGTAACGATGACACAATGGTTCCATGTTGGAACCAGTGGGTACAAAAGGGCGCACCGTAGAGGTTCTTGGCTCAAGACAGACCACACTAACTAAGGATAATCGTTTTGTGGACCAAGCATTGCAGAAGACCATGGTATCTGCCGTTTAGACACATTTGACATTTTACAACTTCCTGTCTTCCTGCTTCATCTCGGTGAAGGTCATCGACCAGAATCCATGTCCACCGTCTCACCGGAGGAGGCGTGGCTGAGTTAAGGGGTGCTGCAACCGGGAGGTGTCGAGTGGTGTCACGCCATGTTCAACAACAAATCTGACCATGATGTGCCGTTATGACGGCCCATCCACCAACCATGTATCTTCTTCTTTCAGCTGTTCCCTCTTCAGGTGTCTCCACAGTGAGTCATCCTCCTCACCTCTGTCCCTCCATGTCCTCTTTAACTGTGTCCATTTATCTCCTCTTTGTCTTTTTCCTGGCAGCTGTCTAACATCCTTCTACCAATATACCTACTGTCCCTCCTCTGGACATGTCCAAACCACTGTCCCTCCACTGGACATGTCCAAACCACTGTCCCTCCTCTGGACATGTCCAAACCACTGTCCCTCCTCTGGACATGTCCAAACCACTAACCCTCAACAGGACATGTACAAACCACTGTCCCTCCTCTGGACATGTCCAAACCACTGTCCCTCCTCAGGACATGTACAAACCACTGTCCCTCCTCTGGACATGTCCAAACCACTGTCCCTCCTCTGGACATGTCCAAACCACTAACCCTCCTCTGGACATGTCCAAACCACTGTCCCTCCTCTGGACATGTCCAAACCACTGTCTCTCCTCTGGACATGTCCAAACCATCTCAGTGTGTCCTCTCTAACTTCATCTCCCAGTTGTTCAACCTGTGCTGTACCTCTGATGATCTCATTCCTAATCTTCTCCATCCTCGTCACTCCTAAGGAGAACCTCAACATCTTAATTTCTTCCACTTCCAGTTCTGTCTCCTGTCTTTTTGTCCATGTCTCTGTCTCCAGACCATACAACACAGTTGGTCTCACCACTGTCTTGTAAACTTTTCCTTTGTCCTTTGCCGACACTCTTTTGTCACAAATCACTCCTGAAACTTTTCTCCATCCACTCCATCCTGCCTGGACTCTCTTCTTCACCTCTTTACCACACTCCCCATTTTTGGACAGTGGACCCCAAGTCCTTGAAGTCCTGACCTTTGTGACCTCTGCTCCTTGTAGCCTCACTGTTCCACCTCCTCCCTCTCATTCACACACATAGACTCGGTCTTACTACGACTGACCTCCTTTTTCCAGTGCAATACTAGACCCCGTATGGGATCCTGAAAGTGGAGGCCGGATGGGGACCACCTACTCAAGATAATTTAACAAAACTTGAAACATATGCATGATCACAAGACAGAGCGTTGGGGACACTTTTAATCACCACAGTTTCAAGGTCAAGATCAAAAATTAGGGTAACAAGGTTATACCAAGTCTTTGCTTGTCCACGTCATTTCTATGGATTTCTTTATAACAATTTGTCGGTGGGTGTATAAAGTGCCAGTAGGTGTGCCGCGATAAACAATAAATCAATTAATCACACGATAAATTAAAATTATCAACCTCATTTTCATTTACTGACTTCATCGTTTCTTCATGTCTCTCTCTTTCTACTGAAGACACTGAATGACAAAAGGCTCAACTCCGGTGCTCTTTACTAACACCTCCCTTTCTCTATTTTCTTTAAAATCCATTTTATCGATCCAAAATTGTGTTTTTGAATCGATAAAAGCAGCTAAGCTAAGAAGCTAAGCTACGAGCTAAACTAACAGGCCGACCTCGGCAATAAACTTCCGTCTTGTCGAAGCTCCAGAATTCACGGTTGAAACCCGTGTCTTCGTCTAAAAAGTTGTTTTTCTCTGCAAAAAGAAGCTGAGAACTTGTTTACTGATTTTTATGAAAAGCTTTGTGTGAAAAATGCTAAAGAGCTCAAACTACACCGAGCGTCCGCCATTTTGAGAACCGAAAAACAGGAAGGAGAGACAGCCCATGTCACGTCAAGGGGCCTCACTCCTATTTTTCTTAGAGACATGCTGCTCGCTCCCTCACTATCCATCCTTTGGCTCAAACAGTCGTATACTGCCATCCAGTGGTCAAAAACGGTACTTCAAACAAAAATTAACCAACATTTCTTCTTAAATTTGACAATAATTACTAATTATTGTCAAATTTAAAAAAATATCGTTTATCGTAATAATTTCTGACACAATTTATCGCCCAGCAAAATTTGTTATCGTGACAGGTCTATGTGCCGTATGTGGAACGCTTGTTATTTTTTGCTGTGAAGCACATTGGATTATATTTGACTTGTATGATTAGTTGATTGATTGGTTGATTGATTGATCACTGGCCACCAAAAGACAAGAGTCAAACGATAATGCCTTTTCTCATGTCTTTGTGCGCATGAGTCTGTCTGTTGGCAAAATATCTCCAAACTGACTGAATGGATTTGAATCAAATTTGCAGGACATTTCCATTTCGTGCACCTCTACAGCTCGTTTATTTTGGGAGACAACCCGATTCAAGATGGCCACCTCAGCCAACTGACCTTAGAAAACACAAAAGTGGTTATTAACCAGCCAATTTTACAAATACTGAACTAAAATTTAGTGCGGTTGTAGCTGAATTTGTTCCCAACACAACAACCAAACGTTAAACTTCAACATTAACTGATCGAGTCAAGCCAAATAATAACGTACAATGAGAACGACGTCTTGTGATTTAGTTCGACTGTGCAGAATCTCAAGCTTTGACCAAAATGGCAACTCACAAGAAACAGGTATTACTGGGGAATAATTTAAGGCTAGTTGGGTGAATTAAAGTGAAAATAATAATATCTCTTCTAAGACAAACAGTGTTGATTAGTAAATGTGCTCTACCTGCTCCACTCGGATCTCGTATTCTCCGTTCAGCTTCTTCCCCCGGAAATACTTCGCCCTGCAAGAAAAGATGAGACAGCGTCACTCACGATAAACACCCAACATGCGCCTCCTTCATCCATGTCCGGTCTCCTGATCCTGCACGACCCGTCGAATTCTCCTCAAATTCCTCGCCGTCGAAACAACCTTAAAATACCTTCTGTTTATTTCATCCAGCTGAAATTTCAACAGACCGTCCAAAATACCTTTCAAGTAGGCAAAGAAAAGAAAAGGGACTCACTTTTTCCATGATTACACAACCTGACCTTTCGAGACTTCATGCAAACAAAATTCCTCGGCAAAGAGCGGCTAAAAAAAAGTTTAAAACCAATTCTCTGGCAAAGATCACAAATGAGAGATCTCTTTTTTCAGCTTTAAAGTGACCCACCGGAAGGGATCGCTCAGAGCTTCGAGATCAGGTGGGATGGAACAGAAAAACCTACAGAAACCATCCTGACCTGATGCCCCACATAAAGTTTCACCGTTAGACGTTCGTCATCTTTCTACGAGGCTAATTCACAGCACAGTGCTGAGTTGGAGTCATTATGTTGTGTCATTATCTTGACTGTGATCCAGGGGCGCCTCCAGAACGTTTTAATGTGAGGGAGGTCTGAAACCCTGGGGTGGCACCAAACCCAAAATATTTATTATGTTTTTGTCATTTATTATTTGACAAATACAGGAGTCAGAGGATCACCTTCAGATATACGGAAGTCTTTATTAAAAAGTTGATTTTACATGATGAGAAAATCACTGACTCAACTTACTGAGGCTTGTCCTCATATAAATTTAGATTTATAAATAAATATTCTACATTTGACTTCCTGAGACCCTTACATCTTGGTGTTGGACATCTGTTTTAGACCAGACGTCCTTATTCAGGGGGACTAGATTTTATTTCCATACCTGCAAACTCACAAGGGATGAAAAAGGTGACAAACCTAGCACCTGTAGTCGGGGGTGGGGTCCCTGTTCCCCACCAAAGTCTTGGTGTATGTGGCAGGGAGTTACATTGTTCAAACGATGAGGTAGCGCTAAGCTAGCGGCGTGCAATGCAGATGCGCTAGCTAAGACGATACATACGTAGCATGACATAGGTTCTTGCACGTAACCTACCCCCCCACAACTGCCGGCACTACCTAAGTCCAGTCAATGGGAAACTATGCCTCTGTCTGACCACCACCCCCCGATCTAGATGACTCACGTCAATGACATTTTGTTTGAAATCAGCGATTGTCGCCAAAAAGCAACAAGTTTGCAGGTATGCATTTTATTTCTTTAATTTTTAATAACATATTGGTATTATTATTTATAGTGTGATAAGGACCAACACCTCCAAATGTGAGGTCATAGTGGGAGTGGTGGTGCAGAGGTTAGAGAAGGTGGACCTGTGATTGGAAAGTCTCAGGTTCAACTCTCGGTACCGTCAACATCAAAATGTGGATAGAAAGGTGAAACACCTGCCTCCACCCCTATTTGTCCCACCCTGGGCCCCTGAGCAAGACCCTCAATCCCCCCCCCCCCCCCCCCCTCATGTGTACACTAAACAGGTCTCTCTTGAATACGAGTTCTTGTGACTCAGTGATACTACCTGTATAAATAAAGAGTAAATGGAAAAAAGAAAGAAAAAGTTCTTCAACAAACCGATTGGTGAAGTTTCAGCAGTATTGTGGACTCCGTTCCAGTCCGTTGTGGTGGACAGGGAACTGAGCAGTAAGGCAAAGCTCTTTCCCTGGTCGGTCTACGTTCCTACTATGGTCACGAGCTCCGTGTAGTGACTGAAAGAACCAGATCTCGGATACAAATGGTCCAAAAGAGTTTTATCTGCAGGGTAGCTGGACTCTCCCTAGAAGTTCAGTTCTCCAGGAGAGACTCAAAGTAGAGCCGCTGATCTTTCACATAAAAAAAAGAGGTGGTTCAGACATCTGGTAAGGATGCTCCATAGAGAGGTGTCCTGGGCATGTCCAACTGGGAGGAGATGCCAGGGAGGTTTCAGGAAATGCTGGGCAGACTATAAATGGCTCTTTTGCATTGTAAGACCCAGCCTTGTTGATTTTCCATGTTGGCAGGATTCTCATAGTAAGAACGCTCAAGACTCCCGGTATAATGTCTTGCCACCCAACAATGAAAACATGGAGCTCGTGCCGTTTCCCGTTTGTCGTTCCTGCATTCATCAAAGTTCAAACGGTGCCAGAAAAGACCGGTATCCCGGTCCAAATCTGCCCGTCTTCATTTCAAAAGTGTTCTCAATTACATTAAATCAAACGTGGCTGCAGCTGCGCCCTAAGTGGACGGAGGTGGACACTGAAGAAGGTGCGCAGAGCAGTTCTGCTGGCCGTGCACACAGCGATAAGCTGTGGTTTTCAAAACGCTGCCACAAACCTCGTGGTTGCATGGTGGAAAAAGCCAATTAACTTTTGGAGTCAAGATGGCCGGCACAAAAACATCAGCTTTAGCAAAAACAAAAATTGGGTCCAACTCAGTCAGTTTTACAGAGATTAAGCTGAAATCTGTTGTGGTAGTAGCTGAGAGTCGGTACCAACACACACTCTGAGCAACAACAGATGAGACAAAATATTTATTAAAAACTTTATGTAAGGTGGACGTCACTTTTCTTAAGGAATGCTCCTTTCATTTGGCTGCACTCTTGGTTTGGCTCTTTAGTCATGCCCCAGTGCACCATGGGGCTCAACAGTGACCTTTGACCTTTCAATGTGTGTGGTAGTTAATCTGTCAGGGGCTTCAGGCCAGAGCTGTGGGTTTAACTATTCACAGGCTGTTCGAGGCCTTCGGTTGCTCCAACAGACAGGACTTTAAACAAAAACACTTTTTTTTTCCATTTGTCGTAACTCATCTGTTCTTTAGGTCCATCCATCACGGGTCATTACCATCGCAGAAGAGCATCTTGAGCCTGATGTCTCCCAGGTGTCTCAACTTGGAAGGCCTGGAACTGTGAATCTTCATCAGGACTGAGCAGCCGTTGGTTCGTGTCACTCAGGATGGAGTGAGGGCTCCTGGCTAACTCACCAACAATCACTCAAATGAGGATGCCTTCCAGTTCTGACCCGACTGCTGGGGCTGAGTCTGGGTCCAGGGAATTTAAAACGTTCCATCTGAATCTTGGTGGCATTAAATACTTTTCATTAGTATTTAAGAAAAGTAAGAAGAGCTCGTAGAGAACGACTTGCTCATCAGGAGATTTATCCCGTAAATTGTTGCTGAAACGTACATCAGAGCAACACGTGGAACCATTTGGGAATTGTTTCTTACTGGTCAGACGCCAGAAGATCACGCTTTGGAGACAAAAACAATGACTGCTAAATGCTAATTCTAATAATCTTTTCATTGAGCGGTTAAAGCTGACCCACCCCTGAAGTATATTTGCGCTGCTATGAGGTAGCAACAGAGTCAAAACGGTTAACGTGTGAAAAGGTGAGCCGGCTCAGTAATGTGATGAAGTGATGACTCATGGTCTGCACGAGCACACGAGGCAGAACTAAACAACAACGAAGATTGATGATGGTTCACGACGACTTTCAATTTAGTTTTAAACCTAAAGAGGATCGCTACAGCGTGCTAATCCATCCTGTTTCGAAACCAGGCAGACAACCGTCACAGGTTTAATGCTCCATTTTAACTCGGCTGAGTTCTGCTTCGCATCTCGTTTGGTTCGGCTCGCTGCAGCAAGTTAGAACTGAACGGAAAAGACTTTTATACTTTTTTTAATTAACGATTATTTAACCAGGCAAATCCCATAGAGCTCACAGCTCTCTTTTGCAAGCGAGGCCTGGGCCTGAAGGCAGCCTAACATGCATGTTTTTGGTCTTTTAACGTGAAAAGTTACAAATATTGTCTTTGGTGTCTGTTTTCCAAATATATTAGTGAGCGAATGACAAGCATCAACTTCAAACACTTTGTAGAACGATGCTTTATGAAGTTCTGTCCATTTATATGTATTAAATGACCAGCAGTTCCGCCACATTTAAAATGGCAGACGCTCAGACGTACCGCTGCAGTGAGCCAGCCCACTCAAGGAGGCGTCTATGTATTTATGTCTGTGTTAACTGCAGCCGCTAGTCTAGCCTCTCTCACACACAGCCTGGTTGTGTCGTTGCACGAATTGTTCCGGAAGCACATTCCATACAGTGCATTCGGCTTTGGGCGCAGGAGTGGTGCGCCCAGAATAGTCCTATTCTCTTGTATTGAAGAGGAGTTACTGCGCATGTACAACTTTTAACGAGTCTACGGGCAAAGATTTTTGCGCCCCGTGGCAGAAATACATCACCAATAAGAGACGTATTTGAACAAAACAACTTTACTCATAATTAACTATAAAATATTTATCTTACACAACTAAAAATATATATAGGTATATTTCAAAATGTTTTTATTTTATTATTTCTTTTTTTATGTCTTATTCAAGGTAATCTGGTGAGTGGTGAGGCAGCCACCTAGCGCCCTCTATTGGTCAGCAGACAATGCATTTGTTGACCTTTTTCTCTAAAATTAAAGGTTAAAATCAACAAGCTGGGTCTTCCTGACTCATCTGTTTTACTAAGACACAGAATATTTCTGGATCAACTTAAAAGATGAGTAAAAACCACAATTCTACAAAGACCATGTTCTTTAATCAAACAGAACAACAGATACATCACTTAAAGGAGAGAGTTCTGCCGTCATGGGCTGCGACCGTTGAGTCCAACTTCAGACGTGTTTAAATGTCTTTCAGCTTCTTCGTCTTGACTTTGCAGCCGTTTTCAGCGGGTTCAAACACAAATCCCCTCTAAATACATAATCGCTGTATTCTTGAGCGAGTTTCCAAAATGTCTAAAAACTGTTAACAAGAGCTCTCGGCGTCATCGCCCGAGTTGTGTCGTTCAGACGAGCTGATTTTCAGAACGTTGTCGCTCAAGCTTTAAAACAATATTTTTAATTTTACTCTTAACGTTCAGTTTCTCTCTCTGAGTTCTGGAGTGAAACGTCAGCCTGCAGCTCGTGACCCTTCGCCCTCTTCCTGAGGCGCAGCGCAGATTCACAAATCCTCCCAAGCTCTGTCTGCAGACGCAGCGTGGAGCGAACCCCCTCCTCGCTGGACTCGGGGCGACTCGGAACCAGAGCGGGACTGAACTGAGCCATCAGACGCTCGTATCGCTTCAAACAAACGCGCTGACAGAAAGTTGGCCGAGCTTCTCTGGAAGAGGCTGCCGGTGCCTCCATTGTGCGTGAGACAAGACTGTCGGGAGCGAGTGAGGTTTCTCCAGAGACCCCCGCCTCCCCACTGGAATGACTAGGAGGAGGTCCAGCCTCGACCCCCGCCTCCCCACTGGAATGACCAGGAGGAGGTCAGCCACAACCCCCGCCTCCCCACTGGAATGACCAGGAGGAGGTCAGCCAAAACCCCCGCCTCCCCACTGGAATGACCAGGAGGAGGTCCAGCCACGACCCCCGCCTCCCCACTGGAATGAGCAGGAAGAGGTCTGGCCTCGACCCCCACCTCCCCACTGGAATGACCAGGAGGTGGCCTGGCCTCGACCCCTACCTCCCTCCTGGAATGACCAGGAGGAGGTGCAGC